GTCGCTATTATGTTAACTTCTCTAAAACCAAAAATGATTTTGATTATTTTTAATGATGGAGTCCTACAACCCTAATAAAACTTTATATATACTTCTTTTGTTTATTCTTCGTAGTTTAATTTTTTCTTAAAAGTACTTTAAGCTGTATAAATAATGTAAAATTAAATAGACTTAAACAGCCAATCATACGAAAGTCTTTTAACCCTATCTAATAATGATACCGATACTGTTGTATTGCAGTAATCGATGGCTATTCTATTTTTTTCCATTTGTATAGTTTACGTTATCAGTTTAAACTTTTCTTTTTTTTTAGGATGATGTAAAAACGATGATAACGTCACCTATGCAATGTGGAAATTTTTTAGTATAGTCAATTACTTTACTTGGATACACAATGATTATCAATACTGTAATACGTATAATTTGAATGGAAGATTTAGTTGGGACGTGGTACTACTTTCCATTTACTGCTTCCGAAGTTTTTTTTGACACCAACGTTATGCTTTATAAGGCAATTTTCGATCGCTTTTACGTATTTCTTTTTCATATACTTTATTAATTTCACTCATTTTGCTACCTATATAATTTCATATTATTTTAAATTTTTAAATTCTCAAAAATTACTATTTTCGCTAGAGCCGCTCAGTTTAGAAAATTTAGAAAATTTAGAGAATCTGATTTTCCGACATACCGATACCGTAAATTAAATAAATTAAATGGAAATACTAGAAGATACTTCAACGGCCACCACAATACAAAATAAAACGTCGGAGGCCCCATCCGCAGTAAGCACAAGCAATACTACGGATGAAATTTTTGTAACGGTCGAGGAAGAAGATGCAAATAAATATAATCAAACAATAAATTTAGTAGAACGAAGTGCAATCACAACCGCAATATTGATTCCCTTTTCGATTATTGGAGTTTTAATTCGAATTGGACTAGTTGATTTGCACACATATCAAAACGCACCCGTGTTTGCTTTGATATATCCACAATTTGTCGGGTGTACGATATTTGGATTTTGTTTGGCTAGAAAGGGATTCATTATGGAGAGGTATGCGACTTTATGATTCAATAGCATCTCTAAAAAGATATTGATAATACTGTATATGATTAAATAACATCTCTAAAAAGATATTGATAATATATACATTTTAAATAGCTATTTGCCACTGTATATTGGTCTACAGACTGGACTATGTGGCTCAATTACAACATTTTCTTCCTGGACCCTTTTGATATTTCAAAATTTTATTACACCATTTCGTCCTCTTAGTGGCATCGACAGTGTAATTATTATACAATTATTTGATTCAATTTATCACATCTTTTCTCATGAATCTATAACGTTTATAATCAGGTCCTTGCTGGATTAGCTGTTATTGGTATAACAATTGGAATGTCGATTGTTGGTCTAAAATTCGGAGAACACTTGGCTGATGCTTTCATGGTAAATCAGATAACTCCAAAGGGAATAGTTCACAAGATTATAATAAGATCATCGAATATAAAGGAATTCACACGTCGCGACTGGGTTTGTGTTGTAAGTGGATGTGTATCATCAGTTTTGATTATTGCACTTGCTGTTTCTATTCAAGTCCAACGAAGGGTATTATATGCTGCTGTTTTTGCACCAATAGGTAAATAGGTACTTTTTATTGTTATATATATTGAAAATATTCCTTCGTAAATTATAACATTCTAGTAATACTACAATCTAATCTGCCAATTCACTTACTAATTGTTAGGAACTTTGATAAGATGGCAATTATCCCGCCTTAATTCATGGAAATCTTTATTTCCTATTGGAACGTTTACTGCTAACATTGGTGGTTCGGCGATCTTAGGCGTACTGTTTTTTCTTCGTAATGGTATCGTTTATTCTGGAATAAGTTGTGAGGTCCTTACTGGTTTATCTGATGGATTTTGTGGTATTATCCATGTAATATTATGTAAACCTTTTAGTTTATTTCGCTTGATGGCCACTAACCAACTTTCTCTAATAAAGGATGCTTAACGACAATTTCTACATTTACGGTGGGTAAATCCTTTTGCTTATGTAATTTAATGTCATATACAGTATTTCATTTAAGTTTTACCAAATATTTTTGATAACAGGCAGAAATAATGTCATTACCGCGTCGTCATGCCTATAAGTACGCACTAACTTCTATTGTAACAGGTCAAGTCGTGATGGTATTTTTGGTTGGAATACGTGCCTGGGTTAATAATGGCTTGGCAATTACTTGTAGCTAATCTAATTCTTAAATTATGATGTCATGTAACTTTTATTTACTTTGACACCATTTTTTTTTTAGAATGTATCATCTTTATATAGATTTAGAAAATGGATAGAATATCTTATGTATTCAAAATTTTAATGAATGTACTGCATTATTATTGAATGAGGACTCTTAGTTTATGCATAAAATGGTACAAAAGCAACTTTGCATAAATATCACAACAAAAGGTACAATCGATTAATACAATACTGGAAAAAGTATTCGCGATTTCCAATCATAAAATGCTTTACGAAAAAATATTCCAATAATTAATTTAAAAGATGTAATTTATGATGATAATAACATATTTATTATACATATTTAATATGGTCTTATTCTTATCAATTACGACAACTTGTATTATAGTCGTGAAATAATATTTCGGAATTCATATCCTTTAAAATATCATATTTTGGTTCAAATAACTCATCGCGTCTCGAAATAATACTCACTTAGTATAACATGGATTTGATATATGCGCGTAACGACAAGCTTTAACATTTTGACATTTTACTTCGAAATAACGTGCAGATGGATAAAATAGCGCGTCGTTATTTCACAACTATAGGTAGAAAAATTAGGTGCATCCTAGTTATTTAAAGTAGCTGACACGAATCAAAAGACTATTTGTATGAATTCGTTTCAAGATTGAATCATTTTATCATTTCTGAAAACAGAACCATTCATTGCACTTCCAAAATAAATTGCCTGAAGCTCAATTTTATACATCATTAAAAATTAATATTAGTCCACCTATTATCGTATTTAAATAAATGAAATTTCAACGATTATAAACATTGTTGTACATGTACTATAGTATATAATTTGCATCATGACTATTAGGTACGTACGAATTTCGGATTAGTCTAAAGTAGGGTTCTGCATGTGCCCATGCCAGGCATTAATGCCTATGGCATGCCTGTATCCATAGACACAAAAGTGCCAGTAAAAAGTGCCAGGCACTTGGTGCCATGCCTAAAAAGTGCCAAGCACTTAGTGCCTATAATAGTGCCTGGCACTTTTAGGTCTGGCTACATATCTTCATACATGCAATTGGATAATATTGCCTTCAGGAAATCTTGAAGACTTAGTTTTATACATAACTAAGAATTTTGTTTATTTATTATTAAACAATATGAAATAATTTTTATTTTATATTACCCACCGACTTAAATTTTACAAAAATTAATTAACGATGTAAAAAAATATTTGATAAAATATCTTCAAGAAATTAAAGGTTTATATGATTAAATAAGCGCTGATTGAAATTAATACATCCTGAATTATAATTTGCAATAAAAAGCTAACACTTATTAGAAAGTGTTTGTTAATAGAATTTATTACGTATACAAATGCACCTAGCTTTAGTTTAAATCTTTAACATTAATTAACATGCGACTAAGTGTTTTCTGTGAAAAAAATTGTATGCTCATTGTGAAATTATTGTGTTATTGAAATATGGTCACAACAATAAGTTTAAGTTATCAATCAATTTTAATTTTGAATTTATCCTCGAAGGAACCAGATGTCTCCGTCGTTTACCTTTTTTTTTACATATTGTCATTCCAGGTCTTGAGATAAGGTCGCGTAAAAATATAACAGAATATTTATTAAATTTGAATTCCAAATACTCTGATATAAATAATCATAAATGTATTCTTACCTTTTTTGCACTAACAGTAACTTTACCGTAAACCATCAATTGCATAGCTTTCCAAATACTATTAGCAAAACAACTATTAAATATAATATCATCTCTTTAAGCTTGCATAAATTAAAACCGCTATATATAAAACCGCGTGTTTCTCTTTTCGCTTGCCATTTTTGTTGGAAGAGATGCATTTTTGCGAATTAAACCCTATATCAGGATAGATTAATTAGAGTTTATAATATAATAGAAAATAAAATTTCAGTTATATAAGTACAGTACATTCATAACTCTAATCTGCAGGAAATTAAAAATTTTAATAGAAAACAAAGTCACTACTAAATAAATAATTTTATTTAGATAAAGCTTGCAAATTATTATAAGCTTTATACTTTTAAACCAAGATTACATAGGAATAAGGTTATTTTAAATTGCAATATATAAATTATCATCACGATATTGATATTCAATGTAAGATTTTTTCGCTAATCTGGAATATTTCATATTTTTCTATATACTGAGAAATATGATCTATCACTTATGTAGATATATCTCTAATAGATTGATTTGGATGTAATTACATCTGAATCAAAAGTTTATCACACTGCTAAATCAAAGCTTATCGATTCGGCAAATATTCGGTCGGTCAACTTTTGCAGAATTTATGAGAACAGCTGTAAGGACTTTTAACTTCTCTACTACTGTGGGCCAGGACCGGCCCGACCTGACCCGTGATCTACATGGCCGACCCGGGCAACTCGTGGGTAGGGATGCAGGTTATACCTATACCGTATTATACGATTGTATAATACCAGTATAATACTGTACCAGTATTATACACATGGGTATAGGTATAATACCAATAATAGAAATGGGTTGGCCAATTAAATTGCTTTATCTGCAATTCCGAAAGTTTAATTCAAGTGATACAAATATTTTGCTAAAAGCACGTGAAATTTTAACCGGCGTTAGGGTTAGGGTTAAGGTTGGTATAAAGAATATCATATCGATCAGGGGATATGTCATGCTGCAGGGGGACACGCGTTTTAAAGACAAAATCGAAGCCAATTTTGACTCTTTTATTAAAAATTTTGCGCATACAAGTCAATTTTCATATGAGAAACGACACTTTTATCTCTTCGAGCTAAAGCCACTGTTTTTTTTGTTAAAACAAATTATTGCTGCGTTTATTAAAAATATAAGCTTTAGCCTTTTATTTACTATTTGACAAAAGTCACTGTTTGTAGAACGACTAGTCTTTAAAGAATCTTGAATTGAAGCGAGGCAATTGTAATAACATTACACAAGAATTTTATCAAAGTTTTTTTTTTATACACTGTAAGCAATTATATTATATGGGCGGTTGCAGAGCTTCAAGTATTTTTTAAGAAGCAGTTATAAGTTGAATGAATAATTTGAATGGAAAATGCTCCATAGTTACCCGTTAAACTCTTTTTTTCACTCATCGCATTAAAGTATATGAATTATTTTCGTGTTAGTTTTCAGTCACAATTTAAGTTTTTTGCTTTTTCTTTTAGAAAAATTACCTTACGGTCTTTTTTTTTACACTTATTTTTAGGTATCATATAAACCTTTGGTTGGCAGGGTTATCGCTTTAACCTTTTTTTTTTTTGATATCACCTATTCAAAGTTTACATTATGAATAACCCAATTTTAAATGCCAGGAGTGGTGATGAAGAGATTCTTTGTAAAGATCCTGATGAAGATTTTGAAATTCTTGATAATATAAGTATTGAAGAAAATTCTGGAAGTTTCGAACAACCAGTCACATCTTTGCTGTCATCTATATATAGTGTAAGTAATGCGGATAGTGATATAAATTTATATGATAGTTTATATGACCTTCATTTTGACACAACTGCAATAGATGTAGCTAAAGTGTATGCTAGTTCATCAACAACAACAATACAAGATCAGACCAAAGAAATCAATATTAATTGGTTGGCACAAGACCTTGACATTATATCTGAGAGAGAATTGTCATGGGAAACGACCACTTCTTATAAAGATGAATTAAATATAGAACTTGACTCTAACAAGATTAAACATATAAATGGGACATGTGTTATACTGAATACTTCAAATAAAACATTACAACGATTTTTTCAACCTGCATGTAGTTCATTGAAACAGCTTGGAGGGATTTGGGAGTTGGATTTTGAGGCAGTAAACAAAGTTATGGTAGAATTAGGAGGAGAAAGTTTAAGTATGTTAGGAGTTTGCATCAGTTATTTTAATTATGATAATTAACAATTACATAATTTTAAAAAATCAGAAATTTCTATAGACAAGGCATTAATTTGCAAGAAAAAATGTCTATTCTTTAGTCATGATAAATACATATTTAGCTATGGGGGTTATTGTAAAGAACACTCATAGAGATTATGTAGTCGAAACGTGCAAATAGTTTGTAATAGAATGAAAGCCTGTCCGGTATTTCAACAAAATGAGTTTGCTGAACTATCATCCAGTTCTAACCGTACATGCTATATTTGTATATCATGCTTCGTATGTGAGGAAGGTTATCTTTATGAACAAAAAAAATGGGGTGCTGTTCCTCCCCATGATTGTACAGATCAACATTCTAATGACTCATCAAGATCACTTCAATTTATTGTGAAGTGGATTAGTGATATATCAGAATACACTGAAAAAGATACACAATATTTCCTCCTTAACGAAATTTTCAAAGGAATCATGTTATTTTTTGAGAAGTTAAAGTCTATCAGAAAGTCAGAAAAAGAAGACCTTAGCAATAAAGAATCAGTAAATAATATGGCCAAAAAAAATAACAATAATAATACAAATCTACAAAAAACAATTATAGAAGAAAAGGTGATAATTCTGAAACCACATAGCTTTTTAGCAATAAAAATTGCTTTTAAATTAAAAAAAA